TATCGGGGAGAGTGGGAGCTACTCTACACCTCGCCTTCTCAAGTGACCGTGAGGAGGAGAACTGATGCTGCTAGGAGTGAACTGCATGAGCTCTTTTAATCGTTCTTAATCCGATATCCGCTCAGGCAGCGGCATGCAATCCCCTACTCCTATAGTATTCAAGAGTAGCACTGGAAGTGAGATAACCAAGGTTACTATACATCATGTAATGGTGGACCAGGACTGCAACATCGTACCTTCAAACAATCCTTTAGGACCAGTTCATTGTGGCATTTACACGAGATACTCTACTCCTAGGCAACATGGACTCGAACCGGCTATCGGAGGTATCCACTTTATGGTATCTTCCGACTTGCTCATCATCCTCGAGGTTCCATGGAATAACCATGCTCATACCAAATTCTTTTTCGATAATCCCGATGTGGTGATGGCGTTCAAATCCGGAGAGCTGCTCCTTATTGGTACTAGAGATTCATGCGTTCACTCTGCGTTATGCTATATCGATTCTCAGAATACGGGGATGATGAAGTGATGGGTTGCGCTAGGACAGAGTATGTTTCACCTCATTTAATAAGCTATCGATCTGTTACGGCTCATCTGCCCTCACCATCATCATCGTCGCATATACATGGTAGTTAATCCTTTGTTATCTTGTAATTATTGGTCGGGATGATGACGATGATACCCTTTATCGAGTCGTACAATAGAATGTAGTAGAATGTTCACTTGCCAGATTTATGCACTCCTGGTGAGACGTCTCCTGATGGTGGCCTACCTACGACGGACCAACATGAAAAGATTATGATCATGGCATTCCTGTTCGATGCTAACACAATCCGGGTTAATGATGTCCGACAGGCTAAGGCACTAGCGACGATCGACCATGATTGCAAAGTCAGCTTGGTTGCTGTCCTAGATCTCTGATGGATAGTATGGACTTTATGGTTAGATCGATTGGCTATCTCTTAATCCTGGTACGGCCCACAGGCTTCTATTCCGAGACAAACGACATAGATTGTACTTGTACGATCTGCAAAAGCACGAGAGGCTCGCACTCCTGTAAGCGGATCATAGGGAATGAATCATAATGACTAGTCGGGCTAGATCTGACTGCAACTACGTCAATTGGGTGCCAGATTCGGACGTTGTCGTAGCTCAATCAAGGGATGAGCTGTGTGTATGGTAAGGCTATACATACCACACTGCTTTCAACTCTCTTGTGGATACGATACCCCTCAGGTATTCAATAGCGACCCCAGATAGGATAACAAAGCATGCAATCAAAGGAGATATCGAAGACATTATCCGTGCCAATGGGCGGACGGTCGTTGTCGTCGACGAGTCGCCCAACAATCAGGTATGACATCATAATCATTGCTCCCGCAACACTAATGAGTAGGTCGAGTATGAACTTGATGAGGCCCTCATTAACTTTTCTGCCTCTGTGGAACGTGGCCACTTCGCGATGGCTGTTGATGTCTTGGAATACCTCCCACTTGGACCGGAGACCACAGGTATACTAGGAGCATTCTCTCCTCTACTGTCCACGTCTAATTGTCAGGTATGTGGCGCCAATTAGGATTGGTTGCTTTGAACGCACTTTGCCTCCCTGTGGCCGAACGCTGCTACGCTGTTCTAGGAGAAGTTGAGATGAGCAGGTCCGATAATGGATTCCACTCGGTATTCGAAGATGTCTTGGCTTCACAGGGAATTGCGGAAGATTCAGCGCCTGGCACGGAGTTGTGCGGGTGATGTGAAAGGTGACTTGGTGGCAACCGTACCTGCTATCACAATGGTGATTACCAGACATTGACAGCGGGCTACATCATCCAACTGTGATGGCTGCTATTGCTGTGATGAAGAAGCAGTTCTCTATAGCAGAGGAAGTTTACATTGAGCATGGTCATCTTGAAGATGCCATACGCATGTATCAAAGCATTCACAAGTGAGGAGGCGGCTATAGTCATTCGCCATGTCCTGACTGAGCCAACTTTTGCAAGACGAGCTTAACTTGAGGTACGATGAGGCTATCCGTCTGGCAGAGCACCACTGCTATCCCGATGTCATGCGCCTCAAAACAGAATATCTACAGTGGCTGTTACAGACGTATGCCACTGGGGGTTGCAGAACTGCAAGCACCCGAGCTCAGACACCAAGAAGACCTGGCAGGAGACCTGCAGGAGAGGGAAGGGAATTATGAGAAAGCCATAGCTCTCTTCTTGAAGAGCGGGATGGCTGCTCGAGCTGCGAGCGTTGTTGCAAAGCATTCTGTATCGAACATAGTTTGGCTAACGTCAAGAGGTCGTTAGCAGATGAATTATTCTCAAGAGCTACTCCAGAAGATAGCGAGCTCGTTAAAGGCTGTCGGATGCGATGGCAAGGCTGGAGAGTTATACGAAAAAATGGGTTACTACCATCGTACATGGTTTTACCATGTTATACTCATGTCCAGGCATGCTCCAACCTGCAATGGACTCGTATAGACGAGGTCATGCATATCATCGAGCTATTGAGCTAGCCACTAAGCATGGACAATTTGCTGCAGTGCCAATGCTACACGAGGAATGGGGAAATCATCTTATGGATAATAGGTATCACAAATAGCAGTTACAAGTGGTATACAACTGGTTTCCTAGACAATATGAGAAAGCTATTGAACACTTCTCTCAAGCAAAGAAGCCATTGAAAGCGGTTGATGCCGCTGTCCAAGGCCGGCAATGGTAGGCGTAGATGTATTTCCGGTGGTATTCGATCTCCTATACATATATGTATCCATTAGGCCACGTGCAGAACATCTGTTAGGAGTGTTTGAAGCTTCGGCACCGGACGCTAGTGTAATTCCTGAACTGAGGGTGCTTCAAGAGAAGCTTGGGGATCATTTCTCATCGACAAGGTGACCATCATCGCCCTGAAACAAATATTCATATTTGGCTATGGAATCAGGCAGCATCAGAAAGCTGAGAGATGCTTTTTATCTGCCGGTGCTGTTCATAAATGTGTTCAAATGTATATCACTGCGCAGGAGCATGAGCAAGCATCAAAGATTGCCAAAGCAGTGAGGCTATCCTCTAGTGACTCTGTTTAAGTTCTGCTCCCCCTCCTCCTCCTCCTCCTCCTCCTCCTCCTCAGCATATGTCCCAGAAGGACAGAATTGAGCTGTACACTGGTCTGGCTGAGAAGTTTGAAAATGAGGGCAATACCTCCCAAGCTGAAGAGTTGTATATTGTGGCTAATGAGTATGATTTAGCTATTGAAATGTACAGGAAGAATGAGGATTATGTGAACATGATAAGGTATCCTTTGTAGTAGGCTAATCTCAAGCATTCATCTGCTGTCATAGGCTCATACGCAAGCATAGGCCTGAGATCCTAGACGACACGTATAGGACACTTGGTGAGCAGTTCGAGTCAAAGGGTAACTTCTCGAAAGCAGAGAAATACTTTTGCGAAGGGGTAGGTATAAGGGACAATAATACGGTCCGTGTGAGTATAGAATGTTACGCCTTAGTCCGGTACCATGTGGGAGTCTGCTGTATCGATGTATCGTCGGAATGGCCGATGGGAGGATGCCAAACGCGTTTCCAAAGCATGCGGAGGTGATATGAATAATCACACTTGTAATTTGTGTACAATCATGCCAGGGAAGAGCGCATTTGAGAAGGTGGTTATTGAACATGCACAAGCCTCTTGCCGAGATTCCATGACTGCAGCTCGCATGATAGCGAGTACAGGTCTCATCGATGCTGCTATAGATCATTCCATCGGCCTCGAAGTAATACCAACATACTCAACATCGGAATCCCCGACAATGTTGTAATACACCTAGGACTATTCCGGTGCCATGACGATTGCTGAGGAATTTGGTGGGCAGCATAGGATACCAGATATCCATCTGAAGCGAGCCATGCATTTTGAAGATATCGGCCGGTGCTGAGGCAGTGTGTGCCCAGCAGTGTGCTTATCATGTCAGCCAGATTCGCGGACGCCGAGGCTGAATTCTTATTGGCCAGTAAGCCTAAGGAAGCTATTGAAATGTATACTCATCAGAAGGACTGGGTAACCTTAACAATTCACTAGACAGCATATGATCAATGATAATGATCTCAGCCTGCTGCCCTCCGAGTTGCCGAGATCAGTAATGATAAAGATTCCACAACATCCATCCTAGAGGCTAGCGCGAGGTTGGACCAGCTACCCTGTCTTATTGACCCCGCTCCTGTGTGTTCATCAGAGATCTTATCGATCAAGGCCGCTTGGGTGAAGCAGAGAATGCTCTCATTGAGGCTGGTAAACCTCAAGTCATCGTCGAGGTATGCCACAACATCAACAGCCAGTGCTTAGCATCCGTCTTCAGGTTTACCTAGCCCATGATATGCACCAAGAGGCTGTGCGTGTTTGTCGATCTCACTGTCCTAACCTTCTCTCAGAGGTGGCTGAATATCTGATCACGTGTTGAGCATGTTCCTTACCTCATTAAGGTAATGAAATACAGCAGCTCTGCCGATACGATGAGCTCGAGCCAACAAGCATCCCCCCAGCGCCCGAGACTGCCAGCGGGATCTAGTGCCAGAGATCTGGTTGCCCATGCTAAGGTGATAATACGTCATCGATGTTGTAGCCTTACCCTTTCGAATGTTGTGGAATGATGTTCAGCTCCTTGAAGAAGCCGGAGAGTACTCTAAGGCGATTGATGCATACCTGGAGGTTTCAAGTAGACGAACACCCTATGCTCAAGTCTGAGCCATTCCTCATCACCTAGATGCCGATCTAAGTGCAGAACAGATAGAGAACGTACTGGTGGACAGTGCTGTAAGGGTCGCTACACACTTCCTGGCTCAACGGTACTGTTGCTCCATCTTCGGTCTCGGCTCCATGCAGACTGAGACTCCGGACTCAGATATACCGAGGTCGCTAATAAAGCTGCGAAGAGGCTAGAATCTCTGGGGCGCTTTGGCATAGCTGCGGAGCTCTACGAGAGTACGGACAGAATTCGTGAGGCCGTCGACTGCTTGGTGAAGGCTGATGAATGGGTGGGTATGACGCCGAGATACGCAGCTACAAGTTTGTTGGCCAGGAGCGTGCAATTGAGCTGACTAAACAAAAGCTGCCGTCAATCACAGCATCGATCGAGGAACAACACAGAGCTGCGCTGGTTAAAAGCGGTAAGACAGATCAACTCGCAGGCAGAGGGGATACTGTTCATGCTCTGGATGCGTAAGATTGCCCTCCCTTCTGGTTGTGAGTATCATCATCATCCAAGGGTTATTCAGGTATGCGAGGTCGAACGAATGGATGAAGTGCTTGAACCTAGCTGAGACCTCGGCTCCTCAACACCTGCAGCACTACGTGTTACAATACGTTAAAGTGATACTATTTCCTATCCCCTTCACTCTCGTTCAGAGAGACCAACTATCATCTTTTAGGTACTAATATCGGAGGATAAATCAAATGAGGCATGCAACACTTTACTGCGATATGGACCATACAATGTACCACGTGCTACATCATCATCATCATCATCCTATGAAAGCCAGCTTCCACCTCAGGATCCAGAATCAATGCAGATTTATCGAGTCATGGCATCCCGTTTGATATCGAACTACACACCTGTAGCCCTGGAGAAGGACTACGAAACGGATATCCTGCATTTGCGCAATCTACTACTCAAAGTAAAGAGGGTTCGTCTGGTAGACCAACTCGACGATATATGGAGATCAGGTACTCAGTGGCCATGATTCGTCGTCACCCAGATCACCAAGTGCCCTCATGAAAGCCGCCACAAGGGACGATGCCAATGATCTTGTTGAGTATTTGATTGTGGCACATCTAATTTGGATTGGATCCGTATGCCGAAGTGATATCGTGATCGATATGCAGATCGCTATGAGTCCCTCATATAGATAATGCAATCGATGGAAGCATAATTTGCAAGGCAGCTGTGAGCCTCTGCCGATACTGCAATCTAGTGCCTGTTGATAGGGTGTTCTATAACGCTGTAGTAGATCCACTACACTTTCCGATTGCATCTTCCCCTCATTGGTAGGGATTTGAGTGTAAGAGGTGTGGCGACATATCCATGGCATTCTTCTTCTTGAATCGGTATCTTGATCTTGTGGATGCCATTAGAGACCCGGATAGCGCCACCATTGACAACTCTGTGGGGAGGCATAGACAACTCATCGCCTCTCCAAGACTCCTTATCAGGACTTCCTGGATACTGATATTCCTTCCCCGTATGATATCAACCTACCTCATGCTGTTCACGGAGATGATCATCTTGTAGAAGAGGCGCGAGACTGGGTATGTAAGGAAGCCAGAACGCGTAAACAGGGCGATGTATAGTAGGTTCTGGGTTGGTCTGTTGACAACAGGGTCCAACAGCAGATGAAAACCCGTCAATGTGACGGATGCGAGAATGAGATTTACGCAGCTGCACTAGTCTGCCCTAAATGCGACTGCAGGCAGGCAGCCCTGATCTCATCACCGTCGAGAATATCGTGGTATGCATTAGGCCTCAGATACTCACCTTGTGTCGTTACTGGATATCCAGTGCTGGCATCGTCGAAAGTCGAATGTGCCAATTGTCGTGCTATGGCTAACAGAGATGATTGGAATGAGTGAGCTACTCTCGGCTATTTTCGCCAAGGCTCTCACGATTGTTACCCAAACAGGTTCATACAGAAAGTACGCACCTGCCCCTGGTGTATGGAACCTCAAGGACGTGCTCTATAGAGGGACATCATGATGTGTTGCATGGCTTGCTTCTTATTGTGAACCTTTTGGATCATGTTGTGTTGTGAAAAGTCCCTCCTTGGTAAACCCTCAAGTTGAAACTCGCTCTGGTTACCACAATATAGATGTGTTGCCCGAGGTGTGTGACATGGATATTTACGTAACATACCATCTCTAAACACAACACCACCCGCTTCTGTTCGACAGATGGCAGTGTATACAGACGGATATCATCTTCTGTAGATGCCATTCATCCATGGTTCTCCAAATAATGGATCTTCCGACTCATTGCG